TGTACACCCAATTCTTCTTATTTTATAAATATTTTATATATTTTATTAGAATTTTAGTAACATTGGTTTTATTCATAATCATAAGTCAAAACACCATTAAGGTGCCTCTCGGGTGCTCAGGCCTCGTAGTTGATGTTTGTAAACTAATACAGTAATTGAAAAAAAATTATAATTATTAATTTATGTATAATTTTTGCAGGGGCGCTATTATATTATTAAAATTATTAACTATATAAGAGCATTTTTTTATCTAAGCTAAACATTAGATGAATCTTAACATAATTATCTAGATAATTCCCAACACTATTTATCTGTGCACAATTCGTATTAAAAAATAAAAAATTATGGCAAGCGGGTGCCACTTTGCTATACAGTAAAGTTGTAGGGGTCCATAATATAGGTTGCGGTCGCTGTAGTGGATGTGTTGAAATATTTTAATATTCATCGACGTAAAATCATTATAATATTAATAATATGTATACTAAAAACGATTCTGAGCGACGACCTATAATGAAAATATTACCTAGTATAATATTTATGATGGTATAATATATTTGATTAAAATAATAATTTATTTTACTACCTATTAGATGACATTAACAATAAAGTAGGAAAAAATGTATTCGGAAATGTCGTTGTGTGTATAGAGTATACAATAGGTATATTAATATTTTACTTTAAACGTTTTAAGTAGGTACTCTCGAATAATATTTTTTAAATTATGTCAGAATAGCCGATTCTTCGTTTAAATATCTAATTTCGTCCAAATTTTAACTTTAAATATCTATAAAAAAAAAAATTGTTGAGCAACATGAGCGTTCTTGGAAAATCACCCTTGTATATGATTTTGAAAACTTTATTTCTTAATGATTTCAAACTATTCGTTTCGTTACCTATTTTTGCCATTATACATTTGATTTAAACGTTCGTAACTAATTAACCAATCGTTATGAATATATGTAGTCAAATCGTATACGCGTCGTTGAGGGCTGAAAAACATTAAGCTTCGAAAACTACGTACCTATATTGTACGTTAAAAAAATCATAATATATATTATATTCATATGAACAAAAAAAAATACACTTTTTACCACCAGCCATCGGGTATTTGGTCGATAGTCATCATTCAACACACATCAACAATAAATGAGCACCGTATCGATTATGGGCGTTGTGTGTTGTGTCGGGAATCGTTTTCATCGCTTATATACAATGTCGTACCTAAAGCGGGAGACGAAGAAAAGAGGAGGAGGACGAAGAGGAGACGAAGACGGCGGAGAAGGAGGAGAAGAAGGAGAACAAGAAATACAGAGACTATATGGGCTAACGACGACAAAAGAGAACGCCGGCAGCTTTTAGGGTAGGTTTTATATAAATTCTGGGTGGACATAAAACTGGGTGTGGGAAATAAATCGTGAACCCGCTCCAGAAGAGACCGAAAGCTGCGAGGAACGAATATTATCGTAGGGGGGGGGGGGGCGTGGCGGCAGGGCGTCTATTAAATATTAGGTCGGAATGCTTTTAACCGCAGCGGTCTTTCGACGGAAACGTTTTACCACGTCTGGACGAAGTGTTTAGGATTTTTTTTTCTCTCCGGTCACTTTTAAAATATTATCATACCATAATAATATAGTGCCGCGCCGAAACAATCGAAATAAAATCGCAACAAAAAAAAAAAACACTGATAAGTGGACGTCGCTCTGCTGTACAGTAGGTAACAAGTGGGTCGATGTGTGATGGATTGTATTAAACTCAAAGTCAACGGTGTAATGTATAAGAAAAACGATTCTGAGCTGAGACGGTTTGTCAGGCTGGATATATTGTATATTGTTTTTATTAATTATTATTGCACTCGAGTTGAAATAATATTAGTGAATTTCTACCATAAGGAGGGCTTTGATTTCAACATATTATTATAGTATCTTATCGTTTGGGAAATCGGATCGAGACAGTACTTTGGAGAGGTCATTTTTCGATCATCTCAATATAGTTATTTAATGCCACGAGAAAAACCACCGAAAAATTACAAAAAACCGCTGAGAATGGGATTTTAATTTCTAACGTATTCTAATGCATCCATCACCATAGAAGCGAATGAAAATTAATAATATTATATAATTAATTCAACTCGCAGGCTATATAACGAATAAAATCAATATAAAACATCCAGACTGACAAACCGTTCACTGACCCACTTGTAACCTACTGTACATCAGAGCAACATGCATTTACCGGCTTTTTTTTTTTGTTATTCGTTTCTATACGGCGATAAACAAAGAAATTTAAATCGAATTTTTAGCGGTTTTCGTCATTCGTCGGTTGGTTTTCCCGTGGCATTAAATGACTATTGAAAAAATCAGAAAACGACCTATCTAAAGTACCTACCATCTCAATCCAATTCTGTAAAAGATCTAAGCACTCCTTCCGGTGGAAATTGTACACTGTACAGGATAAAAAAAAATTTAAAAGTGTGAGATAATTACCACTGTAAAACCACTATAGTTTCATCGCTCCGCTAAGAATCTAAAACCAAGCTCACTAAGCTCATTCGAGTTCGGGCGACGGACTAACTCGCGATGATTACCAGTAGGTATACCTAGGTATTTCAACCACAGGTACAAGCGCGGTAACCGGTATAACGCTGCTGAACCGCTCCTAAGTCGCCATATATAATAAATAATAATAATAATAATAATAATGATATATCATGATAAAAGGTCGAATATGAACTACCCCTCTGCTGCCGCAGCCACGTGGCCTACATAATAATATTTTACATGCCGACGACGACGACGACGAAGCGGCACGATAGGCGAACCGCGGTTCGGTCTAATCGACGTGTTTTTATATATATATATTGTTTTTTTTTTTTATTATTAAAACGTCGGAAAATGTCAAAAATAATTTTCCGTCTGCCGCATAGCGAAAAACACGAAAGTCCGCAACAGCGGTATAGTTATTATATTATATTGTGCAATATCGTTGTGGGTATAAGTAATAATAATAACATTGTGGCGCCCGTGTGAGTCGTTTTCGTCCTTAAAACAGTATACCTACCTTTATAATTGTAGGCGTTTATAAAAAAATAAAAATATTATCGCCGTTCGTTTGGACGTACGTATGAGCGTTTTTGATAATATTTATAAATTATATTTTTGCCTATACCGACCGCCGACGTTGATGACAAAATTGTTCATATCTGTTTCGAGATGGTACCTATGTGTGGGCTTTATAGTTCAAGAAAGTGTGTGTTGTTCGATGTCGATTTTAATTGACTGATTACATTTTTAGAGTCTCATTAGATTTAATCAATCAAGATAATATGGACTTTTTTAAGATATATTAGGTAGGTTTATCAGATGATTCAAATAATTATTGTATTAACTGTAGATTTGATCGAAAACAATAGTATACAAGTGTCATAACGTAGATGAGTTTATGAATATTTAAACATTTTTCGATGGCACTAAAATAGATTAAAATAGTTCGATGTTTAAAAAACCCCAAGTACCTAGGTATAGTGCAAAGTTAGTGTTTCACGAATCGAGGTCACGGTCGACTGCCAGCTAGAATATAAGTAATAACCATAATAACAACAATAATAATAATAATATGTATACCGATAACATTTAGCCGACAGATATTAATAATGTGATATGATAATTATTATAGTCCACGATTAATAATTTACAGATGACGATACATAAGCTATGACAGGGGCGTACTCGGGAATTTTCAATGGGGGGGGGTTGAACATTTTGTTTTTTATCACGGGGACTTTGTCATCTCCTTTTTAAAAATATTAAATATAAACATGGTAATGTACTCTACAGAAAATAAATTTCAAAAATGAAAAATGTTTATTTAAAGAACAATATTCCGATTCCGATTGATTAATGTGTTCATGTTTTCTTTTAAGATTATTGTAGGGTTCAATGTACTTAGAACTTCCAGGCACACTAGTAAAAAATGTTATTATTTTATTTTTATTTTTTTATTTTTTGACTTTAAGCGTTTATGGAAAAAGAATAAATACTTAAATTTTAATACTATCATTAATATTTTTTAAAAGTATATTAAATTACTATACATTTTAATAATTAATCTGTGTGAAATAGTACAAGTAATTGTAGTATATACCTAATTTAGAAAAAACAATTAATAATTTTGATTAAGGGGGCCTTGACAGTTTTACATTAAATTTAGGGAGCCTCACGACAAAAAAAAATTGAGAAATACTGTACTAGATTATAGTGTAAAATATCTAAATATAATAAATATAACTAGCTAAAAGATCATGTTTTTAATGTTGCATTTCAATTTGAAAACTACATAATATACATTTTTCACTGTTTATTTTTCTAACATAATTTATATTTATTGAAGAAATATATAAACATAGCTGCTATGAAAACTATTTGAAATTTAACGCTCTCGAGTAGAGTGATGAACATTAATTATTATATCGTTATAATGAATATTATATTTTATCGATTCATAATAAGGTATACGTCTTAATAGCGTCACAAACGGCACAGAATACAATTGTATCAAATTGACCAATAACTATAGGTCTCTAATAACTATTGTTTTTTATCTATTCAATACAATAAACCAACTCATAAAAATATACGAAAATACGGAAATATCCTCCGACCGTGCGACGACTATAAGCTCGTAGTTATAATATCGACATTTCTTTATTTTTCACACAAATGAAATATTTCAGGAAAACAAATTTCTTGAAATTTTTAAAACCCTCATTACAATACACATTATTAATCCATCACGATTTCAAACATTTTCCGAGTTTCCCAGTGCCGACGAATTTTCGCTGAAAGTATAATATACTGTAAATACCGTAACGCACTGCAGCTGTAGTACACGTCGTATACATTATACTTAGCACGCGAGTTTGATGACATTTTATTATTATTAATGTATTCACGTTGTGTTCTCTGTACAATATTATTATTATGCCACACGGCTGGCGTTTAATAATGCCAAAAGAAGCTTTTCGGATGTGGTTTGCTAAACAAAATTCGTTTACGGCTGCCGAAAGAAGTTCCAAAAGTTTCCCGCGGGACGTGGACCGGAAATCCTATCTGACCATATCATCATCATCATCATCATCAAGATTAAACATCGAACGGGTAATTTTCCAAGTTTCTCGTACGGTATTTCCAATAACCTCGGCCGAGGGAAACTAGTGTAGGTATATATATCGACTACCCAACCACCACATGTCCACTAGCGTAGTGTATATAATATAGTTTCCCCGAAGGCAGTGTGAAAAACTACGTCAGGGAAACTGTGAAAAACGTCGAAATCGTCACAGCTGCAACGGCGGGCATTTTGGCAGAAATCCGCACAGACGTGTCGATTTACAGCACCTACAGGAGTCCAGAGCTTGAATCGGAAAATATATTTTCCGATTTCGATTTCGGATATCTTTATTTATTTTTTCCGATTTTGATTTCGGTCTACCGGTATTGGTTTTTTTCGATTTCGGTTCGGTTTCGGATTTTAAAGGTTTCAACCAGTATTCGAAATCGGTATCAAAATTTGATATTTAAAATCGGTTTTGAATCATACAATAATGATGCAGGACATGAAACCGATATTAGAGACCGATTTTGAATACCTGTTAAAACCGTTAAAAACCGAAATCGATACCGAAACCGAAAAGAAAATCGAAAAAAACCAATACCGGTAATCGAAAACGAATTCGAAAAAAACCAATACCGTTGTACGAAACCGAAATCGAAATCGGAAAAAATAAATACCGAAAATGAAATCGAAATCGGAAAATATGTTTTCTATTTCAAACCCTGCGGCTACAACTACTATAATAATATTATAATAAATAATAATGATACACGACTGGCATCCGGCGAGGTTCGCGTGAAATGGCCTGTACTTCCGGTCCGGTGGTTTTTTGTGCTCGTATAATATTGTGTCCGATATACTTTAAACGCTTCATTGTACGGTTTATCAATGCTATAATATTTCGCGGTGACAATAAGTTGATAATGTTTTGATTTAAAGTTAAGAAAGAAAAATTCCAGTCAGGAGAGCCCACTCTGAACCATCGGTTTTCAAACGTCTTTTAATACAACTTAATTATACACCGTAGTAATATCCCAAATACGATTTAAACATAATTTTAATATAATAATATTTTGGCAGTATATTTATAGGCTTGTACAAATCCACTTTGGTTTATTAAATACTTATACGAAGTGACACTTTTATCATGAAACGCTCATAGTTTCAAAAAGTATTAATGTTTTTGAAAACATTTGCTCACGTAGTTTCAAGTTGTTAAAAAACATCTTTTATATTAAAAAATCATATTTTTATATATTTTTTGTCCTTATATTTTTCGAAGCTTTTTACTTTTTTGAATGACAACATAGAGTTTTAATCTCACAAGCTTTGCACAAGGGGAGTAGTGAACAAACATTTTGTGGTGTAACCTTGTTCCACACCACCTAGCAATACTTTAAATACTTATAATTTATAAAAACTACTCGCACTAAATTCGATTTTTATGAATCAAAATACTTAGATAAATATTCTGCTTTGGAATATTAAATTAAAACTCTATGTTCTAATTCAAAAAAGTAAAAAACTTAAACAAATTATAAGGATGGAAAATATTTAAAAACTTGAAACTATATGAAAAAATATTTAAAAAAAACATTAATACTTTTTGAAATAATGAGCGTTTTACGAAAAAATAATCACCCTGTATACGATAATTGATGATAATTGTCTTAATTTCAACGATCGTGAGTACGCACTGGTAACCGACGGACGAACACAACCAGGATATAAGGTGAAAATATGGTGAGTACCTAAGTATAATTTTTAAAATTCCAAAAATCAGAATTTGAAGAAATGCTGTTAACATGCTTACAATTCCAACTCGTTTTACGTAAAGATTATAACTTTAAATTTTTTACTCACTTTTTCGGAGTAGAACACCTTTAATGTATAATATAGCCTACCCTCGAAAAATGCATTTAGAACTGATTTTATTTGTTTGTCTACAATATACGAACATAAAGCCAATGTATGTTAATACTTGTTAATGTAATTATTATTTATCAGTATTTTTTTTATCGGAATTCCGTTATAAGTTTTAATAATAAAAGTTTAAATTTATCGGTCATTAGGGACGGTCATTACAGCAGGATCATCCATCGAGCGAGTTACACTGAAATAACCGTAAATAATTGACAGTTGGAATTAATTTAATGCTCACAACCGGGACATTTCATCAAAACTTAGTGCACTCAAAATGCTTTGACAACATGTGATAATTGTCTTAATTTCAACGATCGTGAGTCGTGACTAGGCACTGGTAACACAACCAGGATATAAGGTGAAGCTATGGCGAGTACCTAAGTACAATATTTAAAATTCCAAAAATCAGAATTTGAATAAATTCTCTATCAAAGGAAGAAATGCTGTTAACATGCTTATCCCAACGCGTTTTACGTAAAAATTATAACTTTACATTTTTTACTCACTTTTTCGGAGTAGCACACCTTTAATGTATAATATAGGTACACTCGGAAAATGCATTTAGAGCTGATTTCATTTATTTGTCTACAATATACGAACATAAAGCCAATGTATGTTAATACTTGTTAATGTAATTATTATTTATCAGTATTTTTTTTATCGGAATTCCGTTATAAGTTTTAATAATAAAAGTTTAAATTTATCGGTCATTAGGGACGGTCATTACAGCAGGATCATCCATCGAGCGAGTTACACTGAAATAACCGTAAATAATTGACAGTTGGAATTAATTTAATGCTCACAACCGGGACATTTCATCAAAACTTAGTGCACTCAAAATGCTTTGACAACATGTGATAATTGTCTTAATTTCAACGATCGTGAGTCGTGACTAGGCACTGGTAACACAACCAGGATATAAGGTGAAGCTATGGCGAGTACCTAAGTACAATATTTAAAATTCCAAAAATCAGAATTTGAATAAATTCTCTATCAAAGGAAGAAATGCTGTTAACATGCTTATCCCAACGCGTTTTACGTAAAAATTATAACTTTACATTTTTTACTCACTTTTTCGGAGTAGCACACCTTTAATGTATAATATAGGTACACTCGAAAAATGCATTTAGAACTGATTTTATTTATTTGTCTACAATATACGAACATAAAGCCAATGTATGTTAATACTTGTTAATGTAATTATTATTTATCAGTTTTTTTTTTTTTTATCGGAATTCCGTTATAAGTTTTAATAATAAAAGTTTAAATTTATCGGTCATTAGGGACGGTCATTACAGCAGGATCATCCGTCGAGCGAGTTACACTGAAATAACCGTAAATAATTGACAGTTGGAATTAATTTAATGCTCACAACGGGACATTTCATCAAAACTTAGTGCACTCAAAATGCTTTGACGACATGTACCTACCTCGTGTACTTTATTGTTTACGTTATTATTGTATTGTTAGCGTGTGCTTGCGTGAACTTCAACTTATTTTGTCTTATCGAAGTACGTCACGTCGTGCACCTCAGCGACCGACCGATTTAAGACTTCATTAATGACGTACACAATAATAATAATAACTCAACCTATATACAGGGTGTAACAGATAAAACTGACTTTTGGAATAACTTTTGTTCTAATCAATATTACATTTTTTTTTTTCATAAGTAGGTACATAATTTGTAGCCACTTGCGTTACACGTGTAATAAAAAAAAAAAAAAATTAATTTGATTTACATTTTTTTGAACAAATTAAAATAGCCAATTTTTGAATCCGATATAGCGACGATTTGGCTGGTCAAAACATATTTTATCCAAGTCTAGTAGTTTAAATTTTTTTAGATTTTTTTTTAAATATCAATATTTTTTCGATTAAATCGATTTGGAACGCATTTGCTTTTTTTAAAAATACGATTTTTGGAAATTTTCTAAGATGGGTATATTTTTCAGGCTATTTACTAATCAGATTATAATTTTATCAATATTCGTCGTGCGTTTGATCAGCATCGATTTTTTTCAATTTTTTGGTCGGTTCTTTCTGTCACATGCACCCTGTATGTACACCGCGCACCATAGCTGCAGCAGCTGTTTAAACTCTGACGCGTACGAGCACGATAATAATATTGTAATATTAATCTAATATAAAACTGTAACGACAGTGAGGTAGGTCAGCCGGTTATATTATTAGCTGCGTTTCAGATTAAAATCCAACGATTTTTATGGTCGTGTACAACAACGCCGCCGCAGCTGCGTGTGTGTGTCTAGCGTATTTAGAAACCCAGTGCCCCATTAATAACGAAACGCAATAATAATAACAACGAAGCACACATTATCAAAATGTACCTTTACCTACCTATGGTACGGACTCGGTCGCCACTGCCCAGTGCCAGCAGAAAAAAATAATAATATCACCACAATATGCCGGCTGATCCGTTTACGTGTCTGCGCTCGATATTTTGAAACTTTTTTGAAAAAATTCTTAAAACATTTCGACGTCTTTTCGGAACGTTTCTGAAGAAAAATTATCTAATTTTTCGAATACATTAATTTTCGCGAACGCCACGAATTTCCGATTTTTTTTCCACCACTCAATAGGAGCGCAGGACACTTATTATTATGTCATGTACCTCAATCTAATGATAATACATCATTGTCACCAATAAAATCATGTTAGTTACTGTTTATTTTGCATGCGTTACGATGCACCAGCAAGTGGAATAATAATATTCTAATGGGAAAATTCTACTCTCATACAACAGTTTATACGATAATAATACGATTGCTCGATTATATTGAATACGATATCGAATAAGATTGCTTACCCTCGTTTTTAATAATACACATTTTAATATAATTTTGTTTTTTAGAATTTTTAACTTAAAGACCGTGTTTGCAAAAATCTGATATTTTTTCTACTACCTACCTAAAGAGTGTCGATACAGACTCCGATTTTTCAAATGAGCACACTCCATTTTTTACTGAAAATGATTTTATTGACAATATTGATGTATCCGAATGGCAATATTCTAATAAGTAGTTTCTGAGTTATTAAAAAGTCTATACGAAGCATACAATGATCCTTAAAAACGGCTCAACAAAAATATAAACTGTATGCAATATTATATTATTATGTTGTGTACCTCAATCTAATGATAATACATCAGTGTCACCAA